CATTAGGAGTTTGCTTTATTAAAAAATTATTTCCCCTTTCGTTCTTGGTAAACTGAATCACCTTTATATTGATCTTAATTAGCAAAAAAAAAAACTACTCCTTCCGTTTCACAAAGAGTGTCATTCTGACATTTTTCACATTTATTAAGAAAACTATTAAAAATACTATTTTGCCCTTTATTAATGCATTAAATAACTTTTTTTCTCCAATTAATACATTAAATCAATATGGTCAAAACTGGAATATTGTTTAAAATTATGTATTGAAAATATAAAACGACACTCTTTGTGAAACAAAAATAAAACCTTAAAACGACACTCTTTGTGAAACGGAGGGAGTATTAAAAGACATCTACAAGATACACTTATGCTCTGTCTTAGCTACCTCCCAAAAAGGAACATGATCTAGAGATTACTTCTGTGTGTTTGTTAAGCCACTCAAAAACTGCCAAAAAGGAACATGACCTAGAGATATTTGAGCAAATATACAACTTGATCATGTATGTTGTTTGAAAGAGTTCGACATGAGATCTTCATCTACAATCTTGAGGGTACTTGTTAAGCATCTGTAAACGGTTAATTTGTATTATAAATAAAGGACAACATTCAAGGGGTTCAGAGTTCTGAACTTATCACATACACAATGAAAAATAGCTCACTATAGCAACATTTTATGCTTTGAAGAAGAACATCAAGTCACATCCCATAATATTTACTGCTTGGAGAAATAGAGAGACCAGAAAGTGTGTTGTTAAGCCAAAGTGTCTGTGAAGAAATGGAGAGACCATAATGGCTGAAAGTCCAGTTTTGGTGATCCTCAGAAGCAGCAATGGCCGTTATATCGCCATGAAGTTCATCCAGAGAGTCGTCTTCAGGACAAAGTTTTATTTGAATAAAGGCTATTTACATCAAGTAAATAGTACGCTTTGCTCTATAAGCAATTGAATCAGATTCAACCTATAGAAACGAAAGATCAAAAGATAATAGCTAGTGATTTCTCAGTGAGAGCAAGCAACAAGAGTGACTTAAAGTTGTGATCTGGCATGTCAGAATTTACAATTTTTGCCAGCCTGAAATTATTTATGTCCTGGTGTTTATTTTCCGGTATCATCGATCTAGTAATTTCGTGAAAACAAAAGTCAGAGAAAACAAGAATTCTATAGAGGTCTATATATAAAGAACTTTTGATAAATCATTATTTTGCTCCCAAGTAACGTGTAGCACAATTATGACATGATAACCAGAAAGAACAAAATGCTAAGCCAACGGAGTAATTAAGCTCACACGAAAATCTGTTAATGTGTACTTCAAGTGAGAGCTAGAGATTCTTAGAGCACGTTCAGTAGTGAACCTCCCCATGGGGTTCATCGGATTTTAAAATTAATATTTTTAGTTTGCTTTGTATGGGACGAACTTCGAGTAAAATTATGGTTCCAGTAGTAATCTCATTTCGGGGTTCATCCGAAATAAAATATTATTTTTTTATTAACAATTTTTTTTGGTTAACACAAATATTATAATTTAAAAATACAAATCATTACCCATAATCTTAAAAGATACAATTTAAAAAACACAAAATAATACAAGAAAATTAAAAACATACAATATTTTTACATAAACATTAAAACTTAGTTAGAGTTTGGATAACAACAGAACATAAGATAAAGATAGAGGGAATTTGTTTTCAAGCCTCAGCGTGCTCCAAAATACATTTCCGAGCAGTTTCATCGAACCCCGCCTTGTCTTCCTTGTACAGCTTCGCTTTGTCTTCATCATAGTAGTCCCCCTCACCTATTTCTGGGTTTGTCAGCATCTCATGAAGTTTAATGAAAATCTGATTGATGGTGTAAATGGGCGAGAAGTAGTCGTTAGTCAGCATCCTAAGGAAGATATGTCCACGATCTCCTACGTTGGGGTGAAAGATTTTGGTTCTGAAGAAGACCTGCAGAAATCAGGTTGTTATGAATCTTTTCCGAGTTTTAGGAAGAGAAAATAATTATTTAGCAACCGATTACTAAAATATGAGAACCGTTTAAAGCGTCATACCTTGGGTGGCTTGAACGGGTATTCTGGAGGAAAGTGCATGCCGATTTTGAAGACTCCGTTCTCGTAAGGCGATCCTGCTGATCCGAAAAGCGCAGCCTCCCAATAAAACATATTTCCATCAATGGGGCCTAATCATATGTGTGAAACAAAAAAAATTAGTACTTTATTCAAAACTCGGAAACAACATAATTAAGCGTAATACAGAAACGAAATACCTGTACTGTAGAGCGGGCTCTTAACCCTCTCAATTTTCTTTTTCTGCATCGTGATGGCTCTCTCCCAGTACGGGACCTCCTCCTCCGATGAACCGCTGCTGTAGCTTGGCATTATCTGCCCAAAACAGAAGGGGATCAGTACAATACAAAGACAAACGATATAGCACAAAAACATTTTGATACTAATATACACTACCGAGCATCTAAACAACTACAACGATTCAGTACATCATATCATATCACATATATCATATCATCATATCATATCACATCGATTTAGCAATATCATCATATCATATCACATATACCAAACAAAAAACAGAAGATCGAATCATATGGACCGGATAAACTACTTAATCATATTCGAGAAAGGCATTTAAAGTCTCACAAAATCGAAAACACAAAATCATATTCGATAATGCTTTAAACATATAGACGAATGATGCTAGTGATAGTTGGAAACACCAATTATATCGAAACCAAACTCAGATTGAAAGCTTAAAACCATTAAATCATTTCCGAAATAGTTTAAGCATGGTCTAAATTCATTGAATTACATCCCAATTGCAACCCCAATACACATAATCAGCTTTGTTAATGCATTTTAACATACACACGAGTAATGCATATGGAAGAACTAGACTCCAATTTGAACCCCAAAGAAAAGCCCCAATTAATTCCCCCAAATTGAAAAAACCCTAATTTCATCGGAAAAAAAATTCACCAAATGACAGTATAACATGAATTCGTATTCGAAAGCAAGTGAAAAACGGTTTAATTTCATTGTATTACACCCCAATTACAACCCCAAATGAAAGCCCCAAAATTTTTCCCTTTTTCATATGAACCCTAATTTCACCGATTTCAATTTCCTTTCAAATCTCCCAAAATATTAACTTCTAATCGTTTTATTTTTTGAGATGACTCGAAATCGACACTAATAACCCAACCTAAACCACCGATTATAGATTTGAAATTTTTCCATGAAATCCAAAACCCTAATTTCCCATTATCGAATGAAATCGGGCAAAAGGAAGAGAAGAAACGCTTACTTCGACAATAATCACGGAAGCCCGACCCTCGGTTCTACACCGGCAAAAGTTGACGTTTTCGACGAATTTGACGGAGGCGATGAAAATCGCCGTAGGAGAGGAAGAGAGAAAATAAAAAAACTCGGGAAAGAGAAATGACTTTTTGGGAAAAAAAATTTTCCCTTCCCCAAAAATGACGCGAAAAATAATCCTCTCACGCTTCGCCACGTGTCTGGGATGCGAGTTTATCAGGCTCTTCCGGATGGACCGATCCGTCAATTTTGGGTCTTTTTTCTTTTTTTTTAAATCCATTTCGCCTTAGAACTCGAGCCAAATCCGTCCAACGGACCACTACTGGACCTGTTCTTAGGGGCTCGAAAGATTGAACAGACCCACATGTTTGAAATTCGCCACTTAATTCACACGAATCCAAAACAAGCTAGACTCTTGTAAATGAATTTGGCTTGGCCTCCAACAACAAATGAACATCTGTCCTCACTCTAGGCTTGCGGAAAATTTTTGAGCATTGGGGTTGTCGGCTGTTTGTTCTTCAAAGATGGAGCAGCTTTGCGAAGTTTTTGTGGTTTTGGCTTTTTTGTTTAAGCCTTGGCTTGACTTGAGGAACTTTGCATCGATAACATTAAGATCCTCTACATAGTCTACAAAGGCAGAAACCCTATGACATTTCTTATCATAATATTCTCCAAAACCTTGGATTTCAACATGTTGGACAGTATTCTTTTCGGGATTATAGTAAAAAACATAAAACGGTTTAGATGTATTTCTCATCGACAAAACAATTTCACCAGTCGCAGTTACTCCAACAACGCAAACCAAGATATTGCAGTTAAGGAATTCATTTCCCGGCAAAGTGTAGACATATTTTGACCATTCCCCTTTCTCAACATCCTTTAGAACCCATACAGACAGCTCAAGGCTTTTGCCATAGTGGCCATCATGCTTCCAACTAATCACACCTAATTTACCCATATAGTTTATATATATCCTAGGCCAATGGAAATTGTATCCTGCTTTCAAAAACTTGAATTTCTCTGACCTAACATCAAAGCAGACTGCCAAAAGCATTTCATCAACTGTTGCAGATAAAAAATACAAAATCCCATTGATGCATATTCCTTTATTCAAAGGAAAAAAGGATAAAGGATATTGGAGAATTCTATGATATTGGAGAATTCTATGATCATCAGAACAACTTGGATAACCAATTAACAATACCTTGAATTGATTGTCAATCGGATCAAACCCTAAAAAGCTTCTTCAATCTCTGTTCATTCTCAGTTTAGGTAAGCTCGCATACTGTTTCGTTCTAGGGTTAAATATCACATGCCCTACTGCATCCTCACCATTCTTTTCAGTGATCCGCTTGCTCGAGAAATAGATCAAACCAGAGGTAAGGACACAAAAGAATGTAGACCACATGTCTCCGGAGAACTTGATATGAAAATCAGCAGAACTACAAGAGAGGACTTACCATACACTACAAGAAAGAGGGGCTTTTCCAACGAATTATTTACGACGATTTGTAGTCGTCGTAAATTTACGACGACATTATGTCGTATTTACGACGTTCGAAAATTACCTATTTACGTATTTACCTATTTACGACGACATTATGTCGTAAATTTACGACGACATTATGTCGTAAATTTACCACTCACCAAATTTACATATTTACGACGTTCGAAAACATTATGTCGTAATTTTACGACGATATTACGACGAATAAAGAACGAATTTTATTTCGTCGTAATGGTGTCGTAAAATTTACAACGATAATACGACGAAGTGTCCTCTATCTTGTAATTGACGTAAAATCGATGTAAATGTGATGTAAATTTTATTTCGATGTAAATTTGATGTAAATATGCAATGGTAATATGTTGGTAACCAAACAAAAAATCTATATATACCCTTTCTTCTCTCATTATTCCATCAACCCAAAAAAACATATAAAGACACAAATTTTTTGAGTCTTTGAATGTTTAAGTAAAATTTTTAGTTGTTGAAATTTATATCAAATTTCAAAAACAAAAAGTCAAATATTTGTTTTTGAAATGTCTATATACGATCTACGAAACTGGATGTATACGCCCAAAAATGGTGATGGATCGTTGACTGAAGATTTCAAAAACGGATTGGAAATATTCATGTACTAAGCCGGCCTTATGCAAACTGTAATTGAAAGCGGCAAAATGTATTGTCCTTGTGTGAAATGCAAAAATAGGAAACATATTCCTATTGATACTGTCTGGCAGCATTTATTGAATAGAGGGTTCATGCCCTAATACTTTATTTGGTATCAGCATGGAGAGGGATATGGTCAAAGTAGTGGTCAGATGACTGCACGGAGTAGTAGTAATCATCAAGAACATGGGGATTTTGAAGCGTCAAATGATTATCAAAGTAGTCAAGTTCAGGGTGAAGATCATGATAGGATGCATGAAATGGTTACTGATGCATTTCATGAAACACATGCTGATACTGTTGAGGAGCCCAATGCAGATGCGAAACGCTTTTATGAGATGTTAAACGCAGCAAAACAGCCTCTTTACGAGGGATGTAGGGAAAGTTTATCAAAATTATCATTGGCAGCTCGGATGATGACAATAAAAACTGATCACAATCTATCTGAAGTTTGCATGAACGATTGGGCAGATCTTATTAAAGAGTATTTGCCAGATGATAATTTGGCTGCTGAAACGTATTATGAAATTCAGAAGCTGGTTTTTATTCTTGGATTGCCTTCTGAGATGATTGATGTTTGTGTTGATAATTGTATGTTTGTTTTGGAGAGATGATGAGAAGCTTGAAGAATGTCGTTTTTGCCAAAAGCCAAGATATAGACCGCAAATTGCTGGGCGTAAGAAGATTCCTTACCAACGAATGTGGTATCTTCCTATCACTGATAGGTTAAAAAGACTATATCAATCTGAACGGACAGCTGCGTCGATGAGATGGCATGCAGAACATTCACAAACAGATGGCAAAATGACTCACCCGTCTGACGCGAAATCTTGGAAACATTTTAACACCGTACATCCAGACTTTGCTAGGTCTAAGCGAAATGTTTATCTTGGTCTTTGCACTGACGGGTTTAGTCCATTTGGTATGTCTGGTAGGCAATATTCATTATGGCATGTGATTCTTACGCCATATAACCTTCCTCCAGATATCTGCATGCAAAGAGAATTTTTGTTTCTAAGTATATTAGTCCCTGGTCCAAATCACCCGAAGCGGGCCCTTGATGTGTTTTTGCAACCACTCATACATGAGTTAAACCAGTTGTGGCATGTTGGAGTACGAACATATGACTGTTCGAGTGGTAAAAATTTTACGATGCGAGCGGTGCTTATGTGGACAATAAACGATTTCCCGGCATACGGAATGCTATCAGGATGGACAACGCATGGGAGGTTATCATGTCCTTATTGTCTTCATAGGACTGATGCATTTCAGTTTAAACATGGTAGGAAAACCTGTTGGTTTGATTGCCACCGTCGGTTTTTACCACCAAACCATCAATATAGAAGAAATAGGCGTTTGTTTATAAAGAACAAATTGGTTCGTCTCTCTCCACCAGCGTACCTAATTGGAGTAGAGCTTGAAGCGCAAATAAAAATGAAAGACAATTATTGAAAAGAGAATTTGTTTAAGTGTTGACTTGGACATATGTTAACTATTACGACGAATTTACGACGATTATTTAGAAATCGTCATAAATTCGTCGTAACATGCAAACCCTAAATCCTATAGGGTTTAGCTTTCCCAACTTACAGAATGGTTTTTTGGTGCATTTCCCTGAGTAAACTGATGTATTATATAAGGTTTTGTAGACAAGATTAAAGAACTTGTAGATATGTGTTTTATGTACGACGACTTTACGACGAATGAGAGTGATTCGTCGTAAATTCGTCGTAACTTACCATCGAGTTTACGACGAAATGTAACCCCTAAATCTTATAATAAATCTTTTCTGAGGTTCAGGGGGGATTTAGATGAAGAGATTGATATGGCTTACCATCACATAAGGTAAAACACATTTCTAAACAAACAAAAAAAAAAATTCAAATTTTGACATATATATATGTTTATCAAGTAATCTTAAGGTGTTATATACATTTAGGGAAGATGTAAGGATTTATCTTAGATCTTACCAAATTCTTCATTAAGTAATTTAAACATGCTAAAAGTTATACAGAACACATATATGATGTATAGACATGCTTGTAGGTGCTTATGGATGTTTTAATTTTTGAATTTCATCAGTTTTGGTCTACCTGTCGTAAAATCGTCGTAATAAAATCGTCGTAATATTACGACGATTTTACGACGATATGTGGATACACAGCTGTTATATTACGACGATTTTACGACGAATAACACTGATCATCGTAAAGTCGTCGCAAAGCCCAGATACAGCCACGTGTGTTTGTCTTATTCGCTTTGTTGTACAGTGGGACCTCTGCGATGAATTTACGACGAATATAAATTCTATATATATGGACGCATCCCTTCCTCATTTGGTCGCTCATTACTCTCCTTCCTCTCTCTGCTTCCTCCTCCCTTTGACGCAACCCTCTAGAACAAAATCAGGTAATTTTTTTTTTAATTACTTAATATTAAATTATTTTTAAATAGTTTAGAAATTCAAACGGTTTAGGTCGGGAATTAGTTTAGGCTCGGAATTTGTTAGATTTAGGATCGGAATTTGTTAGATTTAGGATCGTAATTAAAAATTAATAGGTAATTTGAAAAATAAAATTTTACCGGTTTTGCAGACGATGACTCGACGAAGGACGCACTACATCAATTTCATGGCGGACGGACACTCTTCCCGGGCGTCTGCCTCGGGAAATACCGGGACCGATGTCCCTTCATCTTCCGGAGCCTCCCAGGTTCCGAATACCGTTGCGGAGCAGTCTCCACCACCGCCTCCACCACCACCTCCACCACCACCTCCACCGCCGGCTGCCGAACCGGTACCCCACCCTCCTCAACCGTATGCCCAATTTACGGTTGAGGACTTACTAGCCCTACCGGGACGGGGGGCTTTACGACGTCTGGTTCCCGGAAAAGCGGAACCAGGCTCTTATGGGTAAGTAAAATTTTTTGTTTTTTATATTTTTTTTAATTAATGCTTTAATTTACTTAAATATTAATGTAATATGTTTTTTTTTTGGTTTCATAGGTTTAACTTGGATAATTGTGTCGGTCGGAGCGTTTCCGACACAATTAAGAGTCATTTCGTTGAGCCGCACTACAATTGGAACAAGGTGTCGCAAGAGACGTTCGACACCTGGTACAAGTGCTTCGCGGTAATATTTTTTAAATCTTCTTTATATCCTTTCAAATTATTTTAAATTTAATCTTACTTTTATATTGTTTATATAATTTTTTGTTTTATTTTGCAGCAACGGTGGAACTGGGACATCGGGATCAACGAGACGGTCCGCGAAGTTTTCCGGCTGAAGGCGCAGAAACGCCTAGTCAACACCGTTTCCGATTGGAAGCGGAAGTGGGAGACCGAAGGCGACGACGCAAAGCCGAGCTCCATGTCCACTTTCTGTTGGAACGGGTTGAAGGCATATTGGCTGGACCCGCATGCCCAGACCGTTGCGTCTAAGTGTTCGGCCGTCCGCAATCGGGTCGGTCCTGACGGTCAGAAGTTAGTGACCCCGTATACTTCTGGCCAAATATCATTTGCGGGCCGACGTCTCATGATGATAAGTAATTAAATATAAATTATTTCATTATTATTTTATTTTTAATTATTTCTATTTATTAAATATTTTTACTAATGTTTATTAATTGGTAGGCCGAGGAGAACAGAGGAGAACGGAGGAGAACTTCTTCCAATGACGAAGCTCTTCGAAACCACTCACCAGAAGAGGGACGGGAGCTTTGTCGACGCTCGATCAGAAGAGATCTACAATGCCGCTATTCAGCGGATCGCCGAGCGGGAAACCCAGGCCACAGCTGACGGTACTATCCAAATATATCTTGACAATTTCTCTTGTGGCTGTTCTCCGGGAGTGAGGCTTGTGAAGATTAACCTTATTGCAGAAATACGTAAATGCCACGCTTTCAATGAATGCAAGGGGCAGTTCACCCAAAACAAGCATCTCATTACATGCTTCCTTGAAGACTTCAACAGAAACTTTTGACATCTTTAGATCACCGCCACCAGTTTCAGGGGTTATGATGTTCTGCTTCTCCTTTTTAGCTTCCTCTTAAGCAAGATGTTTCTTACAGATAGCTAGATGATTTCTCAAACTTGAAGTTCCACTCGTTGATGCGCAGGCCATAGTTTTCCCCCAGTAATGACAATTGCAGAAATTGTCATCATCCTTAGTTCTTGTAAAGTGCTCCCAAACTTTTGATCGAGTGCTTGTATTTCTCTTCTTCTTCTTATTTGGTGGTGAAGTAGCTGAGCTACTCGGATTTGTTTTTCTTTTGCTTCCTGCTGCAGAAGTAGTGTTGATATGGTCTGCAACTTCATCTACTTCAACATCCTTCGGGTTAGGTGAAGAAGAGTCCATCTGCTCAGAAAAAAAAAATTTAATTGAATATGTTTATCTTACTTGTACTGATTATGTT